TGTACAGGAACGATGCAGCGGATGCAGAGTGAGAAGAGCATCCTGGATGAACCAGACTCTCCTCTCGAGGTTTGAATTCTTGCAGTCTCACACTTTGATGTTTTCAGTGTCATTTACTGTCCGTGTCGCTTCAGTACCTTGGATAGCGAAAGAACAGCATCTATTGTTTTTTCCTGTCTTATTTCCTCTTTATTTAAACGTTTTTTTCATTGTTCTCTCTGTATCTGAACAGCATTACGTAAGTGTCTCTGCAATTTATTGAGGGAAATTATTTTGCAATTTAGCATGACTTTGGTGGTTGAATTAAACACGAGCGTCATTGTTTGCTGTATGGTATTTCATTCAGCAACCACAGATAGAACAACAAAGAAGTTATTTTAATTTTACACTGCAGTTTCGTGTTTTGAACTCAGTGGGCCGCTGTTGACCAGCGCCATGGTGTTTAAAATGATATTTAAACGCGAGGACATCCTCAGTCCTCTCATAGTGACGACGACTAAGCACACTGCGTTATCGACGGTGGATGAAACAGCAGATACGGAATATCGAAATGGAATATTTTTATCGTTAGCTGATGGTTCAACAGATTTTTCCCCCCTCATGTGTGATTTGCATCGGTAAGGCTGATTGCAAAAGAGGGAGAACACGTTAGTTTGGTTCGACGGATGTGCCTGATAGAACAATGAGACGGCAAGTACTGTTGTTTTTCTCAGTCCTCTTTCTGCAGTCAGTGCTCGGCCAGGTCAGCTACTCCATTCCCGAGGAAATGGCCAAAGGCTCCCTGGTCGGAAACATAGCTCAGGATTTAGGTTTGGATGTTAAGCGATTACAAGCTGGTAAAGCTCGCATCCACACCGGAGACAGTGCAGAGTACATTCAGCTTAACAAGGAAAAAGGACTCCTCATTATCAAAGAGAAAATAGATCGCGAGGCTCTCTGTGGCCAGACAACGCCTTGCGCTTTGCATTTTCAGATTGCCTTAGAAAATCCGATAGAAATATTCCCGATTACTGTAGAAATCACAGATATCAATGACAATGCTCCCGTGTTTGATAAGGAAGAGAGGAGGCTTGAGATAAGCGAGTCTGCTGTAATCGGCTCTAAGTTTATGCTAGAGAAAGCAGTAGACCAAGATATAGGGCTGAATGGTCTTCAGAGTTATACACTGAAGCCAAATGACAATTTTATTCTTAAACTGCACAGTCAGTCTAATGGAGGCAAAAAGGTCGAGATGATTTTACAGAAACCTCTCGACAGAGAGAAGCAGGAGTTTGCATCATTATTATTAACGGCTGTAGATGGAGGAGAACCGCAAAGGTCTGGGACGATGCAAATTCACATTACAGTATTAGACGCTAATGATAATGCTCCTGTTTTTACGCAGACAGTTTACAAAGCAAGTGTCAAAGAGAATTCCGTTAAAGGAACGCTCATTACTAAAGTGAGTGCCTCAGATGCAGACAAAGGTTCGAATGGAGAGGTTAGCTATATCATCGAGAACAGCATGAGAGACATTTCAAAATTATTCCACATTACCGAAGACGGGCAGCTTATTCTAAATGGCCCAGTTGATTATGAAAAAGCCAAAAAATATGAGATTGATATAGAGGCAGTGGACCGAGGAGGTCTCTCTGATTCTAGTAAAGTGATTATTGATGTAGGGGACATTAACGACAACAGTCCTGTTATAAATATGATTTCATCATCAAATTCAATAGGAGAAGATTCCATTTTAAACACAGTGGTAGCTGTAATGAGTATAAATGATCCAGATTCTGATGAAAATGGTAAAGTCCGATGTGCGATTAATAAAAATACACCATTTGCAATTACCTCTACATCCAGTAATTTTTATAGCATAGT